ATTATGTATACACTTTAGCTGTCTCTAGATTCTCCCTTTGCAGTCTTCATTTAAATAGTTAAATTGATTCTTAACCCCACAACACGGGAAGAACTTTCTTGGAGAGAATACCAGATTGCAGGGTAAAACGTGTATGTGTCTCTTGTGCTGTACCAAGCAAGAGGAGGGTCTCCAGTCCCAGGACAGGGAGACTTGGGTCAGGGAAAGGGGGCACAGTTTCCTTGAGCAGGCAGGTCCTCAAGACCTGAAGGTACTCTGTTATAAATGTATGTCTATATTAAGGTTACCAGGGCACAGTAAGACTCACAATTACAAAGGACTTGAAAGTACTTTTTTTTTTTTTTCTCCCCTGCTTTTGTTTTTAATGCTTAATGTCTTCAACATTTCTTTTTTTGGGAAACTGGGTCTTTAAAGTATGTAATATTTATGCTTGTAAAGAATAGTTGTTTGAATTGAAGAGATAACACTGAAAAACCCCAAATCAATGCTCCCTGGCCTGCTTGATCTAGACGAAATTTCCCTGCATTTTAATCATACTAAACTCCCCTCATGGCAGTTTAAAATATCAATTAACTTAAGTCCAATTAGACAGGGCAGTCACTGGATTCTCCTAACTGCTTGATTCTTGTTGAAATGTACCTGAATTGATTGCAAGATAACTACTGTCAAAATCAGGGTATACTGTCATTGTCTGGAAAAAAAAGTTTCATAAACAAAACAAAACAAAAAAAAAGTATTTTTAATTCAGCCATACCCTGTAATTTCAACTCAGATGTCTTTAGTTTTATTCCAAAATATACTGAAATAAATCTATCAGGACCCCATCAGCAAAGACTGGATTTTTTCCATATGTGATAAATATTGATATTATTTTCCATATGGCTTTGCTTACTTTTAGTTCTAAATATAAAAACATCACAAACAGAAACAGGCATAGGAGAGTTATCAAATCCTATTAAAGCCAAAACCTGGACACAAATGTAACACATAAGGCAGACAGGTTTGAACTGAAAATGAAATTCCAAGATTCCAAGTGCTATAGGAAGCAGCTGCTAAACTCAAAACACATCTCTGCATTTCCATCAACCTTGGGGTTTGGGTTTTTTGTTGTTGTTATTTGGGGTTTTTTTAAGTGTTCACAGGGTAAGACTTGCTATTTTGACAATCCTAACATGTAAAGCCTGGGCAAAAGAGCAACATTGAAAGGCTACTTTCCACTCCCAACTTAACAAGAGCAACTCTGTTCCTGAAACCCAGCCATGCAGCTGTATTTCAAAAAGGTTCTGTTTAATTCCTAATTTGGAAACAAAGGAAACTGCTTTGTAGTGTATTATTTGCATTACCCTAATGATCTAGAAACCAGACTGTGTGCTAGTAGATACAAAAACTTAGCCTGTAATTTGGCCGCCTGGACTGTATTACCACATGTTAAACTTTTTTATTAACAGACCTTTGCTTCATGGGAGTAAGGTGTCAGTGAGATATTTCAAGCAAGCCAGAAATTACATCTTACATGAAAGTAAGGGAAAGAAAGAGTTTTGGCTTCAAACTACTTGATGTCTGGCTGTTTGTGCTTCATGTAACACATGGCTATATATAGACTGATCAGCTACCTATAGCTCGGGACAAACGGATTTTGTAGATCACTGTCAGTAAGGATTCAATTTGACAGACACTCAGTAACCACAGCGGCAAGTAAGATGCCTCCAACTTCACCACACTCCCAAGTTTTTACAATGATGCTTTTGCACCAATAGCAGTATCCCCCCATTTGCACAGACACTTACTCAGAACTGTTTTCATTATACTTAAGAAAGCCATGAAGCAGGGAGATAAACTGCCCCCTTTGTTGAAGTCCTGCTTCACTTTCGTCACTCTTCTGTAGTTAGAAAATACATGGAGCAAGGACAGAAGGGCAAGGTGTCCCTGCTATCAGCTTGCTAGACACAGTATCAAAGTTATTACTGAAAGAATATTTAAACGAACTTACCAGTAGAGAAAACAAGAACTGTGTTGTCCCAAAGACCATATCTTTTCAGAGCATCAGTAAGATTTCCTACAGCTTCATCCATAAGGGTCACCATCCCTGCATAATGGCGCCTCTTTACATCTTCAATGGAAGAATATGGTTTCATGTATTCTTCAGGGACCTCGAGAGGTTCATGGACAGACTGAAAAGCAAGGTAGAGAAAGAGGGGCTGGGGTGGAAGGAACAGAATGGAAATTAGTTGAATGCAAAGTACTAAATGAGAAAGTTACTGCAATAAAATCAGCCCTGATTCATCAACAGCTGCAGGGAACGTGTTTTGATTTCTTTTACTCTTCTCTTTTCCAATCCCTAAACATAAACTAATAAAACTTTGATGAAGGACTTTTGCGAAACTGTTAAGTCAGATGTATCTTTTCTTCCTAACACAGCTGAGTTTCTTCCCATGAAACTTCTTCCATTAAACTTTCTGGTTTCTTTTTAGAAGAGCAAACTACATGCTAAAGCATTTACATAAATTTATTACTCGTAATTTCTATAAATTCCTTACTTGTAGTATTAAAAAAGAAATGGAGAAAGCTAGCTGGCCAGGGCTGTGCAGCTAAAGGTGATTCTGACAGGAGAGAAGGCAAGTTTTACCAGTACTACTTCACACGTTTAGCTCTATGCACCCTGCTGAATAGCCCCAAACTACAGGTCAAGTACATGTATCTCCATTAATGTTTCATTAACATTTTTTATCAAACATACTTTAGTGTTGAAGTTATCAAAGTAACAGCTGCTGACTGTACCTTCTCAGTTTTGTGACTGGCTATAAGATCTATAGCTCTTTCTGTGAATAAATTAGTGGAGTACATGTTTTTAAACCCAGTTGCAACTTCTTCTCCATCTCGAAAGTCCAGAGCGCAGCGCGTTATGTTCTTTGCTTTGATGAAGACACAACGGTCATGAGAATAATAATCCTCACTCCCCAGAAGATAGCCTAAAACAAGAAAAGATGTCAAATAAGCAAGCAAGCCAACATCATGTCACATAAACACACACATCGGGAAAAAAGTCAAAACTAAATGTCAAAACATTAGTGGTTGAGCTGAAACTTTTATTCAGCATTTGACTATCTGTAGTGACTTCCCCTGACAGGTCTAAGTAGATCAACATTTATATACTTTTTATTGCTAATACAAGCAGTAATTTCAAAACACACAAAACATTCTGAAAGCAGTTGGGTGACTTTCTGTTGTATAACTTGGTATCAAAAACATCAGCATTAAACTAATGCTCTGATAGAAAGGCAGTGACCTATCCTTGTGCTACTCTGATTTTTAGCTGGTATGATTTTGTATATTGGTATTTTTATATAAAAGACTTCACCATTGGAAAATTAAGAATTTATTTAATATATTTATACAAAAACATCCAAGTATGCCACGTTTTTGGTCAGCTGTAATTTCTGATCCACTTCTGACACCTACTGGTGAAAAGAGAGAATATTAAGATGCCCAGAGAAAAAACTGCAATAATTCCACAGGTACATGTGTGCACCTGCCAAGGGCTATCCTGTTAAGCATGAAGTGCCTTTGCTTTTTATCAATCATAAACAAAATTCTTGAAAATCATTTGAATCTCAGTAATTATTAGTTTTGAAATTAGGTTTCAGATTTATCCCCTAATGCCCTGAAAAAAACCCAGATGAATCTGAAAAATATGTCCTTAAGTTCTGCAAAACCATACTAAATCTAGGGACAAAAACCCAAAATGGAGGGACAGCACTTAAATTTTTATTCAGCAACTTCTATTTCAGTTACTCGTGCAAAAAAAAGTATGTACAGAAAGAATGAAGCTCTGTTTTAAATACAATATATAATTCTAATACATTTGTTGGAGGAAAAAATGGCTTTGCTTTCAAAGCATGAAGACTGCTTTTGTGGGCAGACTGCCTATATCAATGTACTCAGAGCCGCAAGCTGCATTTTTCCACTTTGAGTGCCCACTGGAGGAGACACTGCATCAAGTATGTCAAAGAATCAAATGTCCCTAATTGGAATCAATGCCTAGTGGAACAACACGAACATTATAGGATATTAAACTGCTACATTCTCTGAAAAATAATGTCACACTGGGCACACAACAACCATATCCAGAGCCAGCCTGTATTAAGTCTCCTGCATTAAGAGCCTGCTTGGTTCACAGAGTGAGATTTCATGAGGAGTGACAGCTTACCTACATCTATGCCATCAAAAAGATCCCAAGCTCCTGTGAAGGGATGGGAGGAGGCATACATGTTTAAGCAATGAGCCATTATGATCCATACATATATTAGCTTAATTCTCTTGTGAAACCATGGCCCCAGGCTCCCTGAAGAGTTAAAGAAGCTAAAGAAGCTAAGGAAACAGTTCTTCCCACCTAAAGTTTGGATTGTCATTGTCTATAAAGGACATGTAGCACAGCCAGGCTCTAAAGTTAGACAAGAGGAACGCAAACTCCTGTTTAAGTTTCTCTGTACCTTACTTTCTCAGCAGTAGAAGTGAGCAGCAGTACTATCAAGAGCTTGCAAAGATATTTTGAAGACAACTGTTTCAAAATCCTCCATTCAGTGAAAGTGTCTTACAAAAAAACAAGTGGAGGTGGACCACTTTACGTTCCTTACCATGCAGAATGAGATGTACTGCAGACATAACATCTGTCACACTTGGGGAAAACCAATGAACATCCAATCAATACAGGGACAGGAGCCTTTGCCAGAGGAAGAATAAACAACACATAGCTACAAGCTGCTTTGGAAGTAACACACTCACACCTGGACAATCTATTTCTGGCATTATGTTTTCAGTCAGAGAGTTTGACTTCATTAACTCTTGAGTTCCTGCAACTGACTTTTTTGGATACTGCTTTATAAAGGCTCTCACACCATCTTCCTTGCCACAGGCTCTGGAAAACCAGTGCTACTCTATTCATGAAGCATGAACACAGTGTGTTATGATGTCTGTTTCTCTCTTAAACATATCAGCTTTTAGAAGTGTAACATTATTTGCAGAGCAAGCCATGTCTACTGTCTGAAATAACGCAAAACATTCAGACTAAAGGCACTTATAAAAGCAAACCAACCACTACACCTTAAATCTTCTAACCAATGTGGAATTAAATATTAATTTGTTCCAAGAGAGAAATACTTCCTTTGGTGATTGACATTCAATAATTACAATACTTTCTTTAGTAAGTTGTAAGTCCTGAGCATGCATTTAAAGCACTATCTATCTTATTTTAAGCAGTTATGCTCCAGAAACATGCAAGCCCAGGTATTGATTTACTTATACGCTAATAGTAAAACTGCTGTTCTTAGGAGAAATGTGCCGTTTCTCATAATTTTCAATACTGCATTTATTGCCCGTGTTAAATCTAACCATTACCAAAGTAAGTATCAAATCCTCTGCGGGTTGGAAGGCATTCTTTTCTGTACATCCCTAAATGCCACTTCCCCACCATGTGAGTAACGTATCCCGCCTCTTGAAGTAGCTCTGGGAGGAGTTTCTCGTCCAGTGGCAAACAGCTGGGCTGGCATGGCCAAATTATCTGGTGCTGTAAACCTGTATGGATCTAGCAGATAAAAGGATGAGAGCTCAGTTACAATGTGTTCCTGCAGGCTACTTTATAAGCAGGTACAAGAAGTAACACAGTTACAAGAGACTAGCATTAGTTTTACAGGCTCCTATGGAGCGCAGAGGTAACCTGGAGGAACACAGGAAATAGCACGACAGGGGTTAACAAGGAAAAGAACACCACCCTCCCACCCAGGGAAAAAAAAACAAACACCACAACGAAACAAAAACAAAACCCACAAAACAAACAAACAAACAAACAAACAAACAAAAACACAAGGAAGAAAACCAACCAAAAAAACCCAACCAAAACCCAAAACCACCAAACATCCCCCCCCCAAAAAAACACATACACACACCCCCCAAAAAAACAATCAAAAAACCACCAACCCACCAAACAACCGCCAAAGCATTTTGTGTTTTCATCTAAAAATCTAACAGGTACCAATTACCGTTATGGTCTGTCTGAAGTCCAGGGACTACATCTCAACATGGAATAAGAAATTTTAAATGGGATGGAGATGGGTAAAAAGGCACATGGCAGGTGAAGCCACCACCCTTTTGCCTGTGTCAGAGTACCATCACTGGTGGAAAGGATGACAAAAGCTAAGAAAGCTATTAGAACCATAGAATAGTTAGGGTTGGAAAGGACCTTAAGATCATCTAGGTCCAACCCCCCTGCCATGAGCAGGGACACCACACACTAAACTATGACACCCAAGGCTCTGTCCAGCCTTGCCTTGAACACCGTCAGGGATGGAGCATTTACCCTGTCTTTCAGCAACCTATTCCAGTGCCTCACCACCCTCACAGGAAAGAACTTCTTTGTTATATCTAACCTGAACTTCCCCTATTTAAGTTTGAACTCATTTCCGAGCATTATTCTAGCATCATTCTTCTCTAAATGGACATTATATATACACATTTATATATTGATTTACATACTCAAAATAAGTGCAAGCAGTATAAAAAGAAAACACATTTGGATAATGAAGATGACACGAGTTTTTGACACTGGCTAGATCTGATCTTTGATAGTTCCACGTAAGTTTCCAAACTTAACAAGTGGTGAATTTTTTCTCTCTTTACAAAAGCATGACTGACAATGGTACTCAAAGTAGTAAATTCTGCTTGATTCAAGGAACGTCTGCACTTACTCTGTACCATAAGCTGACTTTTGTTATCTTCCCTATCTCCACCTATCTCTTTTCTGAAGCAGAACAACTTGCACTAAACCCACGTTTGATTTGTTCCCGAGCTAGCAAACCAGAAGTAAGTTTGCATTTAAACGCAACTGGTTTTCACGCAGCAGCCTTCTTCCAAGCGCGCCGCTGTGGACGCAAGGAGGCCAAACTACAGAGCGCTGCCAAGAACACGCAGGAAAGAGCACCCCACCTGCTACCCGCGGCACGCCGCGCAGGGCGGTGGGAAGGGGCGGCGGCACGGAGGCTGCCCGGGGCTCTCTGCGAGCATCGCCG